ATAGTATTTTGGGGTATAGTGTACTATAATTATAATAAGGAACCCCGAAACTAGACCGCTATAGTAGGAGTTTAGGGGTTTCGGGATTACAGTTTAAAGTTTAGGGTTGTAGGGAGTAGGGGTTCAGGGTTCAATGGTTTCGGGATAAGCTGGAGGGTACGGAGTTCTGGTTAGGTTAGGGGTTAGGCGTTTAAGAGTTTGATGTTTATGCAAGGGGATGAATAAACCCTAAACCCTAAACCGTGCAGACTGACCATTGATGAAAATGGGCCTCTAGGACTACTTTCCCCAGAGTAGCACCGAGGTTTGCTTCACAGCTCCGGGCTTTTGAGGCTTCAGAGCGTCGTTCAAAAGCGAGGTTTGAAATGCAGGAACCAGCACTCCCTAAACCCTAAACCGATCCTAAACCCTAAACCCTAAACCGTGTTAAACCCTAAACCCCGCACCCCCAAACCCCAAACCCTAAGCCCGATTTAAGTTCCAAGGCTTGAAACCTCGAAAGCTTAACTTCAAGCAAAACCCTAAATCCTAAAGCCCTAGACCTTAGACCTTAGGGTTCCCTAAAGCCCTAAACCCTAAAACCCCAAACGGTAGGTGAGGTACGGGCGAACGCAACGGCGTGTAGAACGGAGAGCTGCTTCTAGCCCGCTCAACCCTCAACTACGGTTTAGGGTTTAGGGTTTGGGTATGATTGAAAATCGTCTGGCCCCAAAATACCAACAAAGGTTTTACTTTAAGGCCAAGGTATATGCTATCTGGGCGCATGGACCTAAGCCCTCGGTCCTGCCTAAACCAGCAAAAATAATTATAAAAGACTGGCCCAACACCTTTAAGTTAAAAGGCTACTATTCTACATACTTTGGGGGTCCAGGTATCATAAGCCTTAAACCCTAAGTCTTCTAATTATCCCAAGCCCTAAACCCTAAACCCCAAGTCCCTAAACCCTGAACCCCAAGTCCCTAAACCCTAAACCCCAAGTCCCAGCTCCTAGCAAACAGAGGTTCATGTCGCCACAGCAGAGCACGGAGGTTCCCGGGGCGTACTGCTCTGCAGCTGACCGTGCGGCAAGCAAGAAGTGCTCCAGCTGAAAGTGTTTGAAGGCCTGTTTCACAAGGGTGCAGATTGCATTTCTGGGTTTGGGTTACGACTAGGGTCTGTGCCTGTGAGACAACAACTTTTAGCATCTCCATTCACCTATAAAAAAAAAGATGGCGCAAGCCACCAAGGAGCGGTGTAGTCCATACCCGCAGGTAACAGCTTCTCCTGCACCCGGCTTTTTAGATGCATGTTGGTGACGAGGAAGGGCGCAGCCTTTCCCGGAGGCCGAAGGAATAGTCCAAGAACCACCTGCGGAACCACTTGGAGGGCCTCTGCTGTACCGAAGACCCGCTCAAGACGATGGGCACCTGAGCTCTCTAGCTCATAGGCTTCTGCTATGAAAGGTCTTGATGCTGCTTTCATGTGTTTAGGGGGTTTATAGGGGTTTAGAGACCTAAAGATCAAAGAATCCAAACAAGTTGAAATCTCGACGACGAGTCACCGGTGTACGTCTGCTTCATCCAGGAGGAGGCGAGCTTTCGAAACCTCTGCTGCGTGAGATCGATACTTGTCCAGCACATCGCTTTCTCCACGTGAAGGCGATCGCTTCGCACGAAGATGGCCTGACCTTCAGTCACTCCGACAGACCCCTTTGGGTTCTTCGTCTTAGGTACGAAGTATCCCTCGTAGCCATGTCGTTCGAGCTCCGGTCGGAAGAAATCCTGAAAATGGTCCACCTCCTCGACAGGGCTTGATGCATGTATGTATAGGCGGAAAGTAAAAGTTTGAACACCATATCCCTCGACGAGATCGAGATATCCAGCAAACGGCGCGCTGGGGTTGTAGATACCTTTGTGACCTCGGAGATAATGCCCTTCAATCTCCCCTTAATTCACGAAGGATTCCTACACCACCGTGAGAAGCCCTAAAAGAATCCAGAATGCGTCCTGCAGGCACACGATCTCCGCCTGGGAACGCAGGATTTCCTGCAAGAGGCCATCTTTCCGCGCTTCGAAGGAAACGGCACAGCCTTGCGCTGGCTATGGGGCTTTGATTAACGTCGCCGCAACTGATTAGGTTTTAGGGATTAGGGCGTTCCTTACTATGGCAACTCAAAGGACCCTAAATGGTAAGCCCGGATGCGCTCATGCTTATGGTGGCCTCAACAGACCGGAAATTCGGATGTGTTCGTTCATCTTCAGAGCGCTAGTGATTTAAACCGTGCCCATTAACTTCAGAAATATAAAGTCAACACCACCCAAGGAAAAAAAAAAAAAAAACAAGCTAATTCACACAGTGCGGCATTGCAAACCTCAAGGCCAACATGCTGGGCCCAGCCAGAGGAAAATTCTCTACTCTATATAGGAGGCCAAGCGTGTGGTCATCATATATTCACCAGAATTTCTAACCTTCAAGGTGCCTTTGCAAGCTTAACATACCTCCTAGCCCCTCAAGAGAACCTCAAAACCAACCTTGTTTTTGTTTGGGTTCATAACAAAACCCTAAACCCGAAAACGCAAACCCTCAACCCTCTTCTCACCGCCCGGTAAAAGTCCTAAATGCTAAACCCTAAACTCTAAACCCTAAACCCACAACCCTAAACCCTCCGTTTATAAGAAAACCCACAAGGGGCCCGAGCACCTTTCTTTGTAGAACCCAGAGAGCCCAATACCCCTTCAATAAGGAATATACCTTAAACTATAGGCTTCCTTGAAAGGTCTCTATAAGGGTTCTATAAGGGAATTAAGGAATATCTACCTTTAATTTTGGGGGACCTTAATATTATGATTTAAGGTATATTCCTTGAAAATTAAGGGGTATTGGGCTCTCTGGGGATGTAGGGTTGCTTCAATAGGAACTACTACCATGGGCAAGGATCCCCCCATATATAGGAACCCCTAGACCCTAAAACTCTGAACCCTAAACCCTAAAAACCTAAACCCTGAACCGTAAATCCAGACCCTAAACCTTAAACACCCTAAACCCCTAAAAGGAGACCCCAGAAACCCAATACCCCTTAATTAAGGAATATACCTTAAATCAGAATATTAAGGCCCCTACAAGTTAAGGTACATATTCCTCATTTAAGGGGTATTGGGCTCTCTGGGAAACACTAAACCCCTAAAGACTAGAAGAAGGACCCCCCATAGATCCTGTGGAGAACCCCTATAGATCCCTTTTTAAAGGAACCCCTAAACCTTAGACCCTAAACCCCCAAACCCAGACCCTAAACCTTAAACCCTAAACCCCTAAATCCTAAACCCTAAACCCTAAGCCCTAAACCCCTAAACCGAAAAAAAGAGCCCAGGAGCCTTCTGGCTCAAGAGCTTCGGCCAGCACGTTGAAGGTACACACGGAGACACCAAAGGCAGCCGGCTCGTCTGTGCGACCACCTCTGAGGAGTTGAGGGCTTTTAAATTTAGGGGTTTAGGGTTGAGGAGGGTTTAGGGTTCAGGATTGAGGGTTTAGGGCTTTCGGGGTTTAGGGTTGAGGGTTTGGGATGCTTTCTGGGGTTTGAGGTTGAGGGTGTAGGTTTGAGGGGTTGAGGGTTTAACAGTTTAGGGCGTAGGATTCAGAACGGTTTAGGAAATTTACGGTTGAGGGTTTAGGGTTGAGAGCTTACTAATGTTACTAATATGGTGATGCTTCCATGGAGCCTTAGGGTAGGGGCTGTTGTCGGAAGCTCCTTATGCAAGGGAGGCTGTGTGCTGATTGAAATTTCTGTAGCATGTGCTTCTCGAAACCGCAAGCCCTGGAAACTGAAACCTTTAACTGGAAGCCTAAACCCTAAATCCCACCCCAATCCCTAGACCCTAAACTCTAAATCCGGCCCTAAACCCCAAACCCTAAACCCCAAACCCCAAACCCTAAACCCCAAACCCTAAACCCCAAACCCCTAAACCCTCTTCTGTAAAAGTGCCTGTGTGCAGATCTCGCCACGTGCGCTGCAGGTGCGCCATGGAGCAATGCAGCGCTGGCACTCTGGGACCCGGGAGGCCCAATATCGGTTGTGGTTTAAGGTTTAGGGTTTAGGGTTTAGGGGTTTAGGGTTTAGGTTTTAGGGTTCATTCGTTTCGGCTTTACAGAAGAGGGTTTGGGGGTTTAGGGTCTAGGTTTAGGGTTTAGGGTTTACGGTTTAGGGTTTGTGGGTTTCGGGTTTGTGGGATTTATATGGTCTGTTCGATGTATGTTGAGTTTTTTAGTAGGGCGTTACAGGCTTTAGGGCTTCATGTGGTTTTGTTGATGTTTGTAGCGTTCTTTGGTGGGGTGTGAAAGGGTTTACGAAGAGTTTCCGGTGAACAGGATCTATAGAAAGCTTGCTAGAAGAACCACAGAAAGGTTTCAGCAACGGGGCCCTGATGACTAGACAAGGCTGTGCGGAAAGGTATGCTAGAGGCTCTCACTATACAGGCACTGTAAGATGGCAAGGGAATGATTGAATGAGGCCCTACGATGTGCACACGGACAGCTGTCGGTCAGACAAGTAAGCAATCAAGCAAACATGCGGCACTTTGGCCAGGTCTGAACTTACTCAGAAGGGCCGTAATGCTGCAAATGGTTGAATCGGCTTCAAACCCTAAACCCTAAACCGGCTTTCTGAAGCCACAAGCTAGACATGTCAAGAGGCAAAAAGCGGAGGCCTTCAACAACTTTCCGGAAAAGTTTGGCATGCCGCACAGTGAAGTTGATGTCAGCAAAGCAGTGGCAAGATGACGGATACGAGTCACACTAGATAGGCCGAGGAACGTGTGAGAAAGCGATGGGCTGCTCATCTGAGGAATGACTTCACATATTCAGCTCCCCTATAATATCCCTAAACCCTAAAGCCTAAACCCTAAACCCTATAAACCCTTATAAACCCTGATAAACCCTAAACCCTATAAGCCCTAAACTCTAAACCCTAAACCCCAATTAAAGCCTATCCCCTAGCTGAGGGTCGGTCCGCGGCTTAGGACTTAGGGTCATAGGAAGCTCTACTCAGAGAGCCCAATACCCCTTATTCAAGGAATATACCTTCAATCATCATATTAAGGCCCCTATAGTTTAAGGTATATTCCTTATTTAAGGGGTATTGGGCTCTCTGGGTACTCCTGTAGCCCGAAATCCCTCAGCAGCACACATTCTTTAGGGTTTTAGGGTTTAGGGTTTTGGGTTTAGGATCCCTTGAATTGCTATTTAGGGTTTTAGGGTTTAGGGTTTTGGGCTTAGGGCTACGCTCCCCCCAATCACCATGAACTTGAGCTTTGAACCTGCTCGTCACATTAATCCAAAATCGCCAGACCTCAGACCAAACTGAACAACCGGCCAAAAGTCTGAATCCAACTATATACTATAACCCTTAGCCCTCAACCACAAACCCCGCCCAACAAGTTTAAGTATGTACAAACTCCAGGCTATAAACCCAGAGCTTTCCAGCCTCGACCAAAAAAATACAAAGCCTGACAACAGTACTATAGAAACGTCATATCCACAACAGCAAAGCCTGAAGTGCCCCTCCCCCCCAGCCTGAAGCCAGTAAAGTAGCGTAGCCTGACGTGGTGGGGTCATTATGCAGAATGTATCACAGCACTGGCTTGAAGAGAGGCTTTGTCAGATCTGGAACTGGTAGACATATCCCAAGGTTTAGGGTTTAGGGTTTAGGATTTAGGGACGTTCGTCCGCGGTTCGTGTTCCAGCTCTTCGAAGCATGAGCACGGACAATGCAGGGGATTCGGCTCATGCATTTGTGTGTCATTTTCTGCAAAGTTTCATGATACCCTAAACCCTAAACCCTATATTGCATTCCTGTCACCTTTCAATGTCAGGGTCATCGGGTCGCACATGTTCCTGGCGATAGTTTTGTGCTAAGGGTCCACGGGGGCGGGTGTTCGTCACCATGCAATGACGGTTTAGGGTTTGGGGAACTTCTGACCCATAGACTTGCACTTCCCCGTGAAGCACCTTAACCCTACAGCCCGACATGAACCCTAAAGCCCTCAAGCCCTACGGTCCTAAAGCCCTACACCACTTCGGCTGCTCTAAACCGTATACCTTAAAGCCCTACACCTCTGCGGCTGCCCTAAACCCAAAACCCTAAAGCCCTACAGAAAACAGCTTGGGGGAGTATGGTATGTATGTATATATATATATGTGTTTATTCATTTATTTACATTTTTTATGTCTTATAAAACTAAACACAACAAAATACAATATAAAATATATAGTATACTATATGATGTAAAGAAATATAATGAAATGTCAAATTTGCTATATGATTTCATGATATATAACATATTCAAAGACCAAATAATATCACATTGTATGACATCTTTTTCTATTCTGTTATGCATGATGTCATAAAATATTATGTTATCTTTACATTCAATTACAACATATTTTAGTATCATATTCTGTGTTTTTTATACTAGATCGATATAACTACCACTGTAGTCAGGGACCGGTTTAGGGCTTATAGGGTTTAGGGCCTAGGTTTAGGGACTACGTACGCGAACTGCGGCCGAGCGGCAGGGTGCCCTTGTTGCCGTCCAAGCTCCGGAGCCAGTTCAGAGCCACGGTCTCCACGTCGCCTCGTGGCTCTGGGGATCGGCAGGGGGTTTTAGGGTCCTTTAAAGGGGTCTATAAGGGTTCCTTTAAAGGGTGCTATCAGGGTTCCCTTAAAATGATCGGCAGGGGATTTAGGGTTTTCAAGGGTTTTTCTGGGCTTGAGGGTTTAGGGTTTTAGGGTTTTAGGGTTTTGGGGTTTTAGGGTTTTAGGGGCTTTAGGGTTTTAGGGTTTTTAAGGTTTAGGGTTTTAGAGAGCCAAATACCCCTTGATTAAGGAAAATATATGCCTTAAATCATAATATTAAGGGCCCCTATAATTTAAGGCGTATTCCTTATTCAAGGGGTATCGGGCTCTCTGGAGTAGTAGGGCTTTAGGTTGGGGGGGGGGTTAGGATCTGCCTTAAACTGCCAGAACCAAGGTCCCCCATAAGCTCTATAGGGGTTTAGGGTTTAGGGTTGTTTACAACCCTAAGACTGCAAAACAGC